CTCCTGGCTCCGCCCCGTGTGAGTCAGCTGCACGCTCTCGTCAGCTGAGCTGCGGCTCCTGCCTAAGTCCTGTCGAGGCCTTGAGGCTTCCTCGGTGGCTCTTGTCGCCGATTATTTTTTTATTGCCTTTTTTAAATTATTTTTTTAATTAAAAAATGAAATAAATACATGGCAGCATAGGATTCAACTGGAAAGCAAACCTTTTCCAAACAACTAAGGAAAAGAATTTATTCAATTATTGATGCAGTATGGATATTTTAGTAAGGAGTATTATTTATTTATAAATTTTAGATTGTTTTCTCAGATCCCATTTGTCCATAATTTTTTTTCAGGAGAAGTGCCTAACTGTAGGGTAACTCCTTTTTCCAGACAAAAGGAAATAAGGTGCATCTTTAAGCTTGTATTGCAGTATCTCTACAATATACTGTAGAAATACCTAATCAGAGGAAAATGAGGGAAAAATGTTTCCTTTCAGTTAGCACTCCTTTAACTCATTGGTGCTCAGAGTCAGGCTCAGGCCAAATTCAGTCTAGCAGATGTGACTGTAAGAATTAATTCTTATATGTCAAAAAGGGTCTGAAACAGCAGACAAAGAAGACAAAAAATTCTATAAAAAAAAAAAAACACAACAAAAAAAAAACCCATATCTTCTCTGGTAGAGACTATAGTGTATCTGTATGCTGTTAAGAGAGTCACCCTTCATTGAAAAGCAAAGCACACAGTTAGCTTGTGTTCAGCTGACTCAGCATTAGTAGCAAAGAAATGGTGCTTCTAAGGAAGAGTAGCATATCTCTTTAGACTTTGGTAATCATAGAATCACAAATGGTTTGGGTTGGAAGAGATCTTAAAGATCATATAGTTCCAACCCCCTGTCATGGGCAGGGACACTTCCACTAGACCAGGTTGCTCAAAGCCCCATCCAGCCTGGCCATGAACATTTCCAGAGATGGGCAAATTCTTTCAGTGTTTCATCACCCTCACAGTGAAGAATTTTTTCCTAATACCTAATTTAAATGTATCCTTTATCATCTTAAAGCCATTCCTCCTTGTCCTGTCACTACCTGCCCTTGTAAAAAATCCCTTTCCAGGTTTCTTGTAGGTCCCCTTTAGGTACTGGAAGGCTTCTATAATGTCTCCCCAGAGCCTTCTGTTCTCCAGCTGAAGAATAGAAGTCTTCCTTCCTTATGACCATGGCAGGGACAATTTTATAACAGGGCTCCCGCATTCACAGTTTTTGAATCATGGCTGCTTTCATTCCAGCTTCAGAGTTTGCATGCAATCATGTTGGGTTACAACATGATTGCATACGTGGTGATACAGTGTGTGATCTGCAACATGTCATTGCCTTTGCATGAAGTGAATGGGCACTTGCTTTACTGTGTCTGTGTCTATAACTGATCAAACGCCATTTGCTATGCACATGACATCCATTATCTCACAGTAATATGGACTTGTGTTGTGATGACCTGCTTACACATCATCTCTGAGTAGACTGGGGACACTTGCCAGAGGTTCTTATGGCACAAGATGAAATAATCACCTTTATGCTAAGTTTCTTTCTTACACTACAGATATATTCAAATAGGCATCAGCTGGTTTGCCAGTTAGAAGAGAACCTAATTTTTTAATGCATGCTTACAAGGAAAGTCTTCACTCAGGTTTCTCAAATGTAGACATTGGTTTTGTAAGTCCCAGGAAGTTTGTAATTGCCAGGCTTTGATCTGGCTGGAGGTACTCAGTGTCTATAAGATTCATTTTTGAAATTACAGTTTCAGTGCATGGACTCACCTTTTGCTGTCTGACCTTGAATTTATAAGCCTCTGTGTGAAAACATCTTCCTGCTCTTTCACAAAGGACATGTCCACCCAAACTCTGTTCCTTGTTGGTGAGAAAGGCAGAGTAGTGGGGTACCAGAGCTGGTTGTTGTAGAAGTCATTTCTCTCATCTACTGCAGTTCCTTCAGCCTCTGGGGAATCATGATCATTAACTGTGAAATAATTACATCGGCAAACAAAATCATAGAACTGAGGCCTCCCCACCACAGTCATAAGCCCAGATGATGGAGACAAAACAAGAAGTGTTGCCACTGGTCACCACCAGGCAGACTTAGGCTTGCATGTTTGTGGGGTACATGAAATGAATGATCTTTGGTTGGTACACACTTAGTCATTAATACACAAAACCCAGTCATCCAGCCTACTGCTTCTCCTACATTACCAAAGTGTTTTCATATTCCAGAAAATAAGTATTCCTGTGAAGTCATCCCTCCCAGGCCACTCTCTTTTCCTATATTATATGTCTTTCAACTTGGGACCAAAATTCTGGATAACAGCACAAGAAAAGCAATCATTAGAGACATATTTAGTTAACTTCTAACATTTAGACTCACAGGCACAAGAGCAGCTATTCCTGATGTCAAGGTTGCTGGTGACAAATGGCAGCATCATCTAGTCTGTGTAACAGAAGTAAATGAATGTCTAAAATGAGTAACCAAGATCACAGTGAGAGTTGAGGTAGTTTGGAAGATGAGATCAACCAGTTATTTGCTGACATTGCGGTACCATTTTTGTGAGCTATTTGTTTATTGAGAAGAGCCAGAACAAATTCAAAAGCCTGTCAGTGACCACCACCAAAGAATAATATGCCTTTATGAAAAATACTTATTTCCTCCTCTGATGCTTAGTGATGTGCTTCATCCGATTCAAGTCCACTAGGGGGTCAAGGAGGCTGAATCAGACATCAGCGTCACAAAACCAGTCTAGAGAAACACCCTCTGACTTTATCTTCTGAAAGACAGAGTTGTTTTCACAAGCCCTCAAACTGTCTACTTACATGTGCAATAACTCACGTCAAAGTACTGCCAGTACAAACTTGCTTCATTTCTTATTCTGACCATCTTCAAGTTCCCCAGATTTGTCCTGATAATTAACGTTAGTGACACATCTTTCCATGGAATTTGTCTATCAGAAAATTGTGCCTTTAAAAATCTCAAACCTCTGTTTTGTGGCATTTTAAAGCAGGGAGAAAAACCCTAAAACTTTCATTTCATCAACGTTAACATCTTGCTTTTGACCTGCAGGTATACTGCAGATTCCTGTTCTCATTCTAGCAATAAATTTAAACATCAAAACAAAATGCTGCAACTTTATTGAAACTGATACCTGGTATTTCTGACATAATCTAAAAAGGTATTGTGCCAATTATTTAAAATTGTAAAGTTTTATTGTGCTTTGGAGCGAGAAGAATCATTGGCACAGTACCGCAATGTTCCCTAAGGCAAACAAGCCCACCACAAAAGCAGATAAAAATTTCTCAAGAGCAATTTCTATGTTTTCCTGATCTCAGAACAATTATCATGAATTAATCCTTTTAATAAACAGTTTTGAATTATTGACAATGCCAAAATGGAAATTTCAGATTCAAAATCCTGGATTCTGGGGAACTGCAGATGGAGAGCTGGGACCCAGCAGCTACTTTATGTTTCACAGACAGCAATGACACCACAATGTAGTCATTTGATGTGACAGGGATCATATGCATTCCCAAAAGCAGCTCCTCGGGCTTACAGTCCTCGAGCAGTCATAAAAATAAGATGTCTCTTGAGGCATTTCAAAGATAAGGCTGAAATGAGAAGGGCCATGTGGTTTACAACACTCCTGGATAAATCCAGAGTAACTCTCTCCTCTCATGACGCACAAAGAGAGACCATTTGTAAAGCATCCAGTGGACGGAAGTGCTGTGCTAGGGGAAAAAAAACGGAAAGAAAGTATTTGGAGCTTTGGCACTTCTCCAGAAAAAAAAATTGTTTTTTATGAAAATGCACTCATAAATGTCATAAAATTCTATTTTGGTGTTGGGTATTTTAACATGCAGCCCCAACACCCCCACCCCTACGCCACCAGCTTCTGCCCCTCAGGAGGATGGCTGCTCAGGGGCCTGCCTTGCAACATCCTCTCTCTCTGTCAGAAGGATCACAGACACTATACTAAAGATTTAAACAGCCTTGTCAGTTTGTGCCTTTAGGGCATCTGGTGTTTAGTCACACAGTTGTATGAAGGAGGCCTATTAGGCTTAATTTCTGCCAAGTTTGCTGCAATTAGTAGAGATGCTCCTGGTTTTTAACATCTGTGCAAAAGCACATCCTGGGCTGGCATTTTGTGCCCTTCTCCCTCACTTTCCCACCCCCTCTCCAGGATGTCCTCCTCCTCTCTGCACTCCCACAGCATCAAGACCCATGGAACGTGTTAGCAGCACCGGAGTGGCCCACGAGACCTGGGGCCACTGTGGTGGCCACACCATCTGGGCACCCCTGGCATCGCCCTCCTGGCACAGCTCCTTGCAGGAACAGGGTGTGGCAGGCAAGGCTGAAGCTTTTGATCTGAGATCAGAGATGGAGAAGGATGTTACACACCAGTTCCCTTGCCAGCTGAGGTAGTTAATCTCTACCTGTACCCACAGCAATAAAAATCAACATTTACATAACACTGGTGGTTCACCTTGGAAGCACACTGCCAGCGTGAGTGAAGCCTGTCCTGGCCCAAGGTCAGGGGACATCCCCATCCCTGGGAAAGGAGCTTCTTGCTACCAGGGTGCAATGAGAAAGGCCCCCTGCCCATTTTGGGGTGATGGCTCGTACCCTAATGAGGGGCTGCATGAGTCTGCACTGAGGATAACACAGTGGTGGGGGTCAGCACGCACCTGCTTGGGTCCTTGCCACAAGGAAAGACTACTGTAGCTATGCAGGACTTAAAAAGTTGAATTAAAGTGGTCCCAAAGCAAATCTTTACCATTTCCCCCCTCCTGTGCTCTAAGAAAACCTTAAAGTGTTATTTCTTTTGCTTTAATATATATATATATGTCCAAATATTAAGTCCTGGCTTCCTTATTTCTACTGTAGGGTTCCTTGGAGAGCTGGGAAGTGTGGGAAGCTGCAGCATTGCCAGCATCAAGCAGAAGAGCCCTGAGCAATGGGAATATATTTCACGTAAAATGTGGCTTGTGTTAACATCTCTTCAGCACAAATGCCTGCAAGAACAGTCCAGGAACAAACTGTCTTTGTGGATATTTCAATATTGCTGCCTCTTTCTGTGCAGGCAAGAAAGGATTCCTTTCCAAAATGGGAAGGAAAAGTGCAACATTCTGGATATTTCTAAAGGAGAAAAATAAGCAGGTAGCATTTAAAATGAAGTATTTAAAATATTCACATTGTTTGGAATGTGGTATGTACGATAAATTAGTAAGTGTTCAGAAAATTATCCAGCTATACAGAGAACTCTCATATGCAGGTGCGTCTGTGTAGACAAGAGGGAGATACAGAAAGAAATGCATTCCACAAGTGTTAGGGGGCAGTGTGACACATCGTAGGACACTGGACTAGAAGTCACAAAGGCTGGGTTTAAAGCCTGGCTCTGCCATCGCAGTTTGTTAACATCTCAGGAAAAGTATTTCACTTCTCTCTGCCTGCTTAAATTGTGTCTCTAAGGACTTTCAATTAACAAGTGTTGGTACAGAGCTTTTTGCTGTGGGGATCTCTAGGCACAGCTACCATCCTCTTTGGTTCAATCCAGCTCCCTTTTGAGGACTATCTCTAAATCTGCGAATGCAAACGAGAGACATACATTCCCTGTAGATTTAACAGCTTCCATATTGCAAGTTTAACAGTTTCAGTTCCCTCTAGTTTACAAAAGACTGTGCTTTGAAATGTGAAATTTCAGATTTAAGCAAAAAGCTTATGCCTAGGTAAGATTTAGACACACAACAAGCAGTGTTTGTACCCGTACACATCACAGGCGTGCCTATTCTGCACCTCTGAAATGAGTAAGTAAACTCTTTTAACAAGATCAAAATTAAGAGGTTCCCATGTCAAGACGGAGCTGTAAAGATGAGTGGAGTTTGCAGCACAGAAATACGCATTCCTGGCCAGCAACCTGATTTAATTGAGTATGCTTTAAAGAACTGAGCTTTTCATCATGACAGAAGCCTTTTCCTTGTATATCTTGGGAAAATTATTCAGCAGGATTCAACACCAACTATTTGGAGGTAGTATTGTTATTTGATCAACAGTATAGCGGGGGTAGGAGTGTAACTGCGCAGCAAGCTCTGGCTAAAGGAACAGCAGGAACCCACCAGGGTCCCCAGTCTTTCCCATTTGCTCTGTGCAGGCAGATGAGATCCAGCCTAGCTTTTTGGTGGAAGTGATGACCTCCACCAGCCTTCACTGGGTGCAAATGAAGACAGTGCTCTCCAGTTCTACCATACCCATCCTCACAAGGGTGAGCATCCGAGAAGTAGTCCTCCAGCAGCTGGGCAGACCTGTTACCTAAGCAGGAGCAAGAATGCAGTCTGGGGAGGAGAGAAGAGATTGGCATGCATATACGAAAATTTAACCCCTGGTAACAATGTTCACAATGAAAGCATTTGCAAGCATACATTATAGGTGGGGATATAGCAGATAGCAGGGGATGTTTTTATTAATTCTTCCTGAATGCAAGGAAAGCAAAGATAATGGAGCATTTATGCAACCTATACCTGGTTTTGTCCATCTCTTAAAGACTTAGATATTTAAATTCTAGTAGTCTGGCTATGGATTCTGTATTATAAATACTTTATAAATTGCTTCAGGTATTTAAATGTTATGTTGTCAAAGACATTGAAGATGGAGTGAAATATTTGTGGGTATGTGTGTTTTTTTGATAAGGGAATCAATTGTTTATTATGATTCAGCCACGATGCTTTCAGAGTACCCTAGAGTACAAAAACACCCTGTGTACAGATATGCAGTTCAGATCCAACAACAGATAATTCATTTTGTATATTCATTGCTCCTCTGAAAATTTCTGTGAGGAATACATCTTCCCCATTATAAAAAAAAAAAACAAAACAACAAAATAAAACATAACAAAACCCCAAACAAACAAACAAACAAAACCCCCTAACAACATGCAACTTCAAAATAGTGCTTCAAAACTTAATCCCTGAATGGAGAAGAGCATACATCAGTTTTTCCGAGATACATGTACGAAGGAAAATAATTGTTTCTACACAACTCCACTCTGCTCAAAATGTCCTTTGCATTTGCTTTTCGGTTTGATTGAAACATCTTCATTTCTCCTGGAATGTCTCCTAAAGGATTTCATTCAGAGTAACTGTAATATCATCAAATGAGGAAAGTAAAAAAGGAGACAGCATATGTCCATATCTATGCATGCATATATGTGCATATGTACCTTTTGAAATAGCTAACCTCAATACCTTAATGTAGCAGGGTTAAAGGTTAAGAAAACATACATCAAAGGGAAGAATACTACCTAATTAACTAATACAAAATATATTCATTTTCTAAGGCCATATATATTCCTTTATAAAAGAAACAAAGTGTACATACACTGTAACTTACCCTACCTTATGGTAGCTCCTACTTTAAAGAAAAAAAAAACAGAACTCATCCCAAATCTCAGGCTAATTCAGAACAGTCTACATCTGCTTCTTAGGTTAAGTACATTTAAAACACTGAAAGTAGTTGCTTCTTCTTTGCAGAGCTCAAACTGGCTCCCTAATCCACCAGACTCCTGCCTCCAAGGGTTGAGCAGCAACTTCAGCCTTTGCTTTCCTGAGTGCATCTATTGCTCTCCCAGGCAGCATCTGCACCTCTTGGACAGGCACTGCTGAGAGCAGTTAATCAGATGGCAGTCCTTGCCAGTGCAGCATGCAGTGTTTAAACATCCAAGGAGGTGTCCATATCCCCATGGGAGCCAAGAAGCCCTGCAGTAGGTCATGTAGCAGCAGGGGAGACCGTTCCAGTGCACCCTGGACACCTGAGCATCTTCCCTTCCAGCTCAGGAGGGCGCCGAGCCCCAGGCCAGGACCTCCTTTTCTTTGCCAAAGTCAAGGGGAGCTTCTCAGCAGCTGAGGAAAAAAGGCAGGAGCCAAATACCAGCATGGGAGGGAGAGCAGACCAGTGCTTTGGACGGTGGTGACAAGCTTTGGCGAAGAATTCAAACTTTATGCCAGAAATAGAAACTCCCCCGTTCACTGCAGGAGTGCTCCTTCAAGGCTCATTCCTTTGCTTGCAGGCAAACATGCACACACTCATCCTCTCCCCTGCTGGAGCTCTTCTCAAAGGCAGCTGCAAGGGTGAGACCTTTCTGGTGACTTTGAGCGCACCAGCATATTGTGACCAGCCTGTAGTGCACAGAAGGCTGAGCAGTAGGGGTTGGTCACTTGGCCACTAAAGCAAGATAAGGTATTTTCACTGTTATCATCCAAATCAAATATTGGGCTCTGTTTGTTCAGATGATTCTCTGCTACTCCCTCTCTTGATTTGCTTCATAGCAAACTAAAAGAACTAAAAGAAAAAAAGACAGCAGGAGAGAAAGAAGTTCGCCTCTTGCTTTCAATCTGCCATTTCAATACCAGTTGCTTCTCCACCATCAGCAGCACCCTGCTCTGCCCAGGCTCAGATGCTCCGGTCTGCTTGGAACTGCATAACTGCCTAACTGCACAATAGCTTAGGGCAGGGGGAAGAAGCTCCCAGGGTCCTCTGACAGGGAAGCAACTGGCTGGTGCCAGGAGCCAGCACCAGTCTTTAGACATGGGTGATCTGACCTAGTAAGAAAGCTAAGCAGCATGTGGAGAAAAAAAAACCTGCCTACAAAGAATGGTACATAAAAGAAAATGTCAATCTTTCTTTCAGATACATTTTGTAGCCAGTGACAGTGTTTGTAACAAGCATGTCTTCAGATGGAAAGATTCCAGGAGACATGGTAATAACATCTATGATAAATGCTCTGTCTGAAGGGCAGAAAAGAACAATTTGCCATCAGAAAGAGGTCTGTTTGTTAGAGAAAAAATGTGAGAAGATGTGGTGAAATAGCTGGGAATAACTCTGAGGAAAAAGCATTGACAGAGCAAGGGTTCTCTTCCACTTTCATATTTGAATGCAAAAGTTTGCAAGCAGTTTTTGGTCTATTGGGCCCTCCATTCCTAATGGTGCTATCAGTCAAGCTCAGCTTGCAGGAGCTGTTAAGAAAAAGTCCAGGAATGTCCCAGGTGTGGCAGCTGATGCTCTGAACTGAAGCTGACATAAGAACCTCACACCCCCTGAACATACACCACACTCTTGTGTATGGAGTATGGAAGTCCTTCCAACATCAAATCTTTAACAGCGGTCTCTCCCAAGGAAGTTTCACTTCGAATATTTCCTACACTCACAATAAGGATATTTTTTTCTAATCCCCCTTGTAACTCTTAAGCTCTCTCCTATTCTTTTAGTTTGGGCTAATTGAGAGTGAGGCAAGAGACGCAGGGCACAGCACAGTACCTGCCAGCAGCACTACAAGCACAATTAGAGGACTGGTCTCCCACAGCTGAAAAGCTGGTTTTGAGCCAATTCCTTCATCATTAGTGTCTTTGTACCACACAGGGAAAAAAAAACCAAAACTGATAAAATCCTTGCTTAGTGACAAAGTGTTTTCAGTCACTGAGATCCTTCTGCAACATTTCTACTGACCCTCCAACATGACTTTGTGGAAACCACTTCACTGCTCTGTGCTTCCACTTCCCATGCTCTGTGTACTGCAAGCTTCACCAGGTAACAGAGTGCTGAATGCATGTACCTCTTAGCACCCTGATGTGCTGGGGAGATGCTAGATACACGTCACAGACTGGTTTGGTGGACATGGCTTAGTCCTTTCTGTTCTCAGTGAAAACAGTTAAAAATATTGCCATTTTAGGCTTTGTTTATAAGCCTAAAAATGGCTGAAGTTGAGTATCTACAAATCTGAGCAACTATTTACCTGTGCAAGAAGGAGGACCCAGCCACACCTCCAACCTTGAGGCAGGCAGTTCTGTACACTGTTTCCAGGCACATGGAGGACAAGAAAGTCATCAGAAGTAGTCAGCATGGCTTCATCAAGGGGAAGGCATGGTTGACCAACTTAAGAAACTTCTATAATGAAACAGCTGGCCTGATAGATGAGAGCAGTGTATGTTGTCGGCGTAGACTTCAGTAAGGCATTTGACACTCTCACGAAAGATTCTCATAGACAAGCTGATAAAGCATGGAGGTTCTGCTTGGATAGGAGTGGCTGGACCAGGTGCCCTAGAGAGGTCCCATACAACCTCAACCATTCTGTGATTCTACAGTCTGAGCTGCTGGCCAGGGGCTTATCA